TTTTCCTTTTCCTTTTTCTTTTTCATTTTCTTTTTCTTTTTCTCTTTTTCTTTTTTCTTTTTCTTTTTCTTTTTCTTTTTCTTTTCTTTTTTCTTTTTCTTTGTCTTTTTCTTGTTTTCTTTTTATCTTTTTCTTTTTCTTTTTCTTTCTTCCTTTTTCCTTTCGGTTGGCTCTTTTCCTTTTTTCTTTTCCATTTTCCTTTTTCTTTTTTCTTTTCCCTTTTCATTTCTTTTTCTTTTTCTTTTTTCTTCTTTTTTTTTTTTTTTTTTTCAAGACACATTTAGATCAAAGAAGTACAAAGAGGGACTTGAGTGATTGATACTCCCACCTGTCACTGAGCCTCATTACCCAGTCATGGCAATCCCCAGCATGAGACCTGACCTGTCCCACGCCATGTATAGAATCACTGGATAATTTGAGTTGGAAGGGACCCTTTGAAGGTCATCCAGTCCAACCCCCTGTCTGATCTCTCCTGGACACGGTTGTGACCCTGTGCAGGCCCCGTGTTCCACCCTCACACCCATAAACCCTCCACTCCCGGGGTGTGGAAGGTTTGTGGCAGGGCACCAAGTCATGTTTAAATCAGTTTAAACAACACTTCAGGCATCACTGCTGCAGCTCCTGGCACTGTTTATGGAGCTGGGACAGGGCCTTCAGCCCAGGCCTGGGTGCCCTCAGGGAAAGCTCAGATTTGCCTCAATCCGTCATCAAACCTGGAGGCCTCAAATTCCCCTTTAAGGTCCCTCAGTTCTGTTCCCTGGGCTGCCACCCCTGCTGCAGGAGGAGGAGATTTACACAAATCAACGGGAGACTGGTGAAAACTCGTTTTGTCAGTGGCAGATTTACCTAAATTTTCTTTTACGCTGCCCAGAAGACACGACCTGTGGGAAGGGCTGCTGAGTGACTCAGCTGCTCCTGCCCACAGCAAGAGCTGATCTTGTCCCCACCCTGGTCAAAAAGGTTTCCTCAGTCTTATTTAAAAGCTATTTATAGATCCCACTCATGATCCTAGTGCTGAGACACACCTGGAGGATTGGGGAACACTGGGCAAGCATTGCCTGCTTTGGAGATGCTGAAATTAAGGTTTTCCAGCACGGGACAAACCCGAACTACATCTCCAGACTGTAGTTCCATTTTAGCCACTCATCTAAGAGACATAACTAAAGGGAAAGGGAAAGGAAAAGAAAAGGGAAAGGAAAAGGAAAATGGGAAAAGGGAAAGGGAAAGAGAAGGAAAAGGAAAAGAAAAAGGAGAAGGAAAAAAAGATACGTGAAAAAGATAAAGAAAAGGAAAAGAGAACAGGAAAAGGAAAGAGAAAGAAAAGGAAAAGAAAAAAAGAAAAAGAAAAGGAAAAGGAAAAAGAGAAAGAAAAGAAAAAGAGGACAGGAAAAGGGAAAGAAAAGGAAAAGAGAACAGGAAAAAGGAAATAAAAAGGAAAGGAAAAGAAAACAGGAAAAAGGAAAAGGAAAGAAAAAGAAAAAGGTCCATGCCTAATACAATTCCAAAGAGGGGAAGAAGAGAGGAGCCACTTGGGTGGATGTGCCATCCACAAAGCCAAGGGAAACCATCTCACTGCCACGTCCCATGTGGACATGAGCAGGGCAAAGTCTCTGAAGAAAAACAGGGAAATAAGCTGTTGTAAATGAGATAGTAGAAGGGGAGAGAGTAGAAAAAGCAGCAAAGTAATGCAGCTTTTCCTGCTGAAAATGTCTGTTCTAAAAATAGTCTGTGCTAGTCTTTCAATGCTGGCACATCATGAGTTCTGCTCTTCATGAAAAAAAACCCTTCAGTGAGGTGTAATGGCTCATCTCTGCCCAGGGTCTGTCATCTAAATGGTAAAACATCTTACATAAACATGGATTTTATTTCCCAGCACTATAACAGCCTCTCTGAGGCTGAATCTAATCAATCAGAAAGGTAGAGACCCATTATCAAGGTCTGTATGTAATGAAGTCTCTCAAAAGCCAGGAAGGGCTGTTTTCCAAATGTGTCTCCGAGTTGGATGTCAAAGAGGATTCAACAGGGCAAGTGCATGTCTCATAGAAATATCTGGTCTGATATAAATTTGCCCACTTTAGGCAATAGTGGCAAACCCAGGCAGCAAAAAAAATATCATTATTTAATTTTAAAGACAGGACAGTGCATCCAGCTCTGTTCCAGTTCCAACTCTGCAGAACATCCCCGTGCTGCAGGGGATCCCTGGCTGCAAGAGGTGCTCAAAATGGTCCACAAAAGTAGCTTTTCTCCAGGTAAACCCCAAAATTCCAGGGGTGGTAACAACTGCTCAAACAGGCAAATACCCCTCAGCAAGGTGCAAAGAATTGATCTGCTGCAGGTCTCTCAGGGAAGAAGATGCTAAAACCCAGCTGCTACCCATGGGAATAGAAGAATAAAACCATGGAATTATTAATACTGAAAAGACCTCTGATATCAGCAAGTCCAACTGCTGACTGTGATCCACCTCAGGTCTGTAACAAGCCACCACCATTTTAGGGGAGAAAGTGGGGCCAGAGAACACCACAAAAGCAAAGGTTGCCAATAAGGGAGAAGAGGTGATGGATTTAGGCTCCCAGATCTGGGGTTTCTGCTGTCACAGCCTGAGTTCAGCACAGCTCCTGCTCTGTACAGCAAAGTCAGGCTGGAAATCCCTTCCTGATGGTCAGAAATGATGTGCACTTTCTGTGAGCAGCTTTTCCCTGTCCTGTAAAGTCTTGCAGTTCCTTGTGGTGTGCTCCAGCCTCGTGCCTGTGCCATTAGTGCAGTGCAGCCATCCAGAAAGGATTCCCTAATGTACAACCCCCGAAGGGAATCCATATTTTATGAGTGTGTGGCTGAGATCCCTCAAAACTGCCCCCTTAAACCTCGTGTCTCACCTTGTGAGCTGCTGAGTCAGGGCCAAATATTGATAAAGTGAAACCTTGAAAGGATTCAGTGGCCCCAGTGGGGCTGAGTCCACTCACACCCTCAAATCCCTGTGCTGGCTGCACACACACACACACTCAGCAGGCACTCAGGATTTGGGTGAGAGGAATGAGGTGTGGGAATGTCACACAGCCACCTGCACACAAGAGCAGGAAGGAAAAAAAAAAGAATGTGGTGATGCCACGGGGATGAAGCTGCTGCATCCCCAGCCCTTGTCAGCTCAGCTCTGTGTCACCTTCCCTCCCTGGGAGTCCCTGAAGTCACACACGGAATATTCTGAGTTGGAAGGGAGTTACCTGCCTGCTCTGCCTCCACCTTCCCCCATCCCCACCATGCAGCAAGTCCCTGCCCCTGCCTTCTGCCTCACCAGGGAGCTGATGGGCACAGAAATTGTTCAGCAGGAGCCCAGGAGGGTCCCCAGTGTCACACACTGAACTAATCTGGAGTGATCAGTGGCAACGAGTCCCTTTCCAAAACACGTGGCACCAAGGAGACACTTTCCACACTCGCCTTTTTAACCAGTGTGTTTCACAGCAACTGTTTTCAGCAGGAGAGGGGAACATGGGGCAAAGTGGGACCTTGTCACTGGGGCAAGTCAATTATTGCTCTGAATTCCACACCTTGCACGTGCAGAGCACCAGGGAAGAGCCACTAATCAGCAAGTTCTGGCAGTCAGGTTCTCTTGCAGGGTGTTATTCCAGCAGACTCGTTGAAGGCAACGGGGCTTTTGCTGAGTCAGCATCTCAGTGATGCAACTGGTGACCTCCTGTAAACCTGCAGCTGAACCTGCATTCTTCACGTGCTGGGGCAATAACCAGCACTGGAATATTCCTTAGGGCAACTGATTCCTACCTTTGGGTGTTTTGCAGTGGGTTTGGCCCCTAAGTGTCAGAAATTTCCCTTTTTATTTATTTTATTTTTTTTTTTGTGAGGGAACGGTTCCCATTCCCTGGGCTGCAGTGAAACCTTCACACACTGCGAGTTGCTGTGTTTAATTATTCATTTCCTGAAAAAAACCAATGCACCTTCCCTCTTCCAATCTATCTATTTCCAGTGTAATCAAATATGTTCATGCTTGTGTGTGTTTACCCTGCTTCTCCTTCTTATCCTCTACTTTAAATATATATATAAATATGTATATCCCTGTCCTTCTTTTCCTAACTGAGGAGCATTTTGTTGTAGACTTGGCTTTCTTCAAACTCCTATCTCATACCAGCCCATGGAGTGATTAGAATTACTTACATTTTATAAGTATATAATACTTATAAATACTAGGACTTATAATACTATAATACTAAGACTTATTTTTTGCTTTGTCTTTTTTGGGTTTTTTTTGTTGGTGGTTTTTTGGAGTTTTGTTGGGTTTTTGTTTGTCTTTTTTTTTTTAATCCTGAGAATCATTTGTTTGGGTTTAAGGAGCCAGGTAACAGTAGCAGGCAGCCCCACTGAGGATGATGACCAAGTCCACAGTGTCATTCCTCATGATCACAAAATCATAGAATATCCTGACTTGGAAGGGACCCACAAGAATCATGGACTCCAACTCCTGGCCCTGCACAGGATACCCCAAAAATCACACCATGTGCCTGAGACTGTTGTAAAACCACTTCTAGAACTCTTGAGAGGTTTGGGGCCATGAGCAAGCTGACTGAGTTGATCCCAGCTCAAGGCAGTGCCTTTCTGGAGGGTTCTTCTGGCATCCACTCCGTGCCAAACCAGCTTCCCACAGATGTGCGTCCAAAACTTCCAGAGAACAACCCCGTGCTGGTTGGGATCATGGCCCAGCAGTTTGTCAGCAGGGTTGCCAAGCCTGAGTGCATTCCCAGGCTCAATCAAACAGCACCCAGACCTGAGCTGGCTCTCAAGGACTCTGCACTGTCCATTTAGAGATTAACATGTGTGAACTATGTCCACCCCAAAAAAGCTTGGTAGGGCTTTTGGTTTTTCACCATAGAACTCATTCCAGAAGGACTTTAGGTTCTGCACAGAGCAATCCCAAAGATACACACAGAGCAAGGTTTCCCTGGTAGTTTGGTGTCCCTGCTGCAGTTCACCACTGTTCCTTTCTTCTCTTCCAGGTAGGCTGCAAAGCCATGATGGTTTTCTTCCAGTACTGTGTCATGGCCAACTTCTTCTGGCTGCTGGTGGAGGGGCTGTACCTTCACACCCTGCTGGTCATCTCCTTCTTTTCAGAGAGGAAGTACTTCTGGTGGTACATCCTGATCGGCTGGGGTACGCATCTCCTCCAGACTGAGGGCCAGCAGGACATCCTGCCTGGCATTTTTAGTCCAGAAACCTGGGGACTCAGGTGGGGCAGAGGTGTATTAGACAGTCCTGAGAAGGGCTCGGGGGTGCTGGTGGATGAGAGAACGGACACGAGCTGGGGATGTGCCCTGACAGCCCAGAAACCAACCGTGTCCTGGGATGCATCAAAGGGATCGTGACCAGCAGGTTGAGGGAGGGGGTTCTGCCCCTCTGTTCTGCTCTGGTGAGACCCCAATTGCAGTGCTGTGTCCAGCTCTGAGACCCACAACATAAGGAGGACATGGATTGACTGGAGCAAGTCCAGAGGATGCCGAGGAGATGCTCTGAGGGCTGGAGCCCCTCTGCTCTGGAGCCAGGCTGGGAGAGCTGGGGGGGTTCACCTGGAGAAGAGAAGGCTCCAGGGAGACCTGAGAGCCCCTTGCAGGGCCTAAAGGGGCTCCAGGAGAGCTGGAGAGGGACTTGGGACAAGGGATGAAGGGACAGGACAAGGGGTGATGGCTTCAAACTGAAAAAGAGTATACTTAGATGAGATACTGGGAAGGAATTCTTCCCTGCCAGGGTGGGGAGGCCCTGGCACAGGTTGCCCAGAGAAGCTGTGGCTGCCCCATACCTGGAAGTGTCCAAGGCCAGGTTGAACGGGGCTTGGAGCAACCTGGGATAGTGGGAGATGTCCCTGCCCATGGCAGGGGGTTGGAACTGGATGAGCTTTAAGGTCCTTTCCAACCCAAACCATTCCAGGATCCTGTATGTGTTACTTTGCTGCCAAGGATTTTGTGCAGCCAGGAGCGAGATCAAGGGATGTCCAGAGGGTTTGCCCCAATTTCATTAACCTAAATCTTCAAAGGTATTTAAGGACTCAGTTTGTTCTGGGTAAATTGGTAGTTGAGCTCTTCAGTCTCCTTAAGGACTGTGGGCTTGAAACTCCTCATCACCTTTATAATCATTCAGTGTTTTGATCCTGACTGGAATTCCAAAGTTGATATCACGCAGTGAGCTTAAGTTGTAAGGATGGATCCCAGCAAAGCAGAACTCCTGGACTGAACCAAACACTGCAGCCCGTGACTCCCTCTGTGTTTTACTGAATTCAGGCCAGACAGCTATCCTGGGATTCCCATCACCTGAGTGTCAATGCTGATAACCCTCTGCTTCCTGCATTTAGGATTTCTCCAGCTTTAATGCAAATGTAATGCATTAAATGCATTTCTCCAGCATTAATGAAAAAATCTGGTCTAAAAAAAAAATAAAATTATTAAAAGATAAAATAAAATAAAATAAAATAAAATAAAATAAAATAAAAAAGTGAAATAAAATAAAGAAATAAAAGGATTCTGTGAAATAGAATAAAATAAAATACAATGAGAAAATGCCAAGACAGAATTAAGCTCTTCACAAAGCAACTCACAACTGAATTGTTAACCTGTGCAAATTAATCCTACCAGATCAACTTCTTTTCTTTCTCCAGAAAGAAATCAGAGATCTTATTTTCCCCTTAATGCCATTTGGTTGAAGATTTATGTTTAAGTAAGCAAATAGCTTTCTACTGAATGCTCTCAACAGCTAAAACTGAGAAATAATGAGAGCATGGAAGAAGCTTAAAAAGATAAAATAAAATTGTGTCATGTCCAGGGATACATCTACACTGAGGATTTGATCAATCAGCCATGGAGTAACTTCCATTGGTAGTGACAGGAGTTATGCTTGGGTTCACATCACAAAAGAGGGACAGTTCTCTGTGCTGGAAGCACAAGAAGGGATGACGTTGGCAGGTCTTGATTTAGATGCAGTTAACCAGGTCAGACCTTCTTTAAACATGCCTTGTGCATAGATATCCTTTGTTTCAACACCTTGGAGCTGCAGATCTTAAAGAAAAATGAATGAAAGTAATGATTTTAAATCAAAGATAATTTCTTTCACTCAAAATATGTTCTGAGGTTGTTTGAGTGAAGAAGGGCAATTCCAGGAAATGGCTTGAGGGATCTTTTGGTCTTTTAGTCATCCATCACTTGCAAGAGCATCAGTGATGGATCTGAAGTGGATTATGCATGAATTAATAATTTGGATGCACTAATTACAGTTCTCAGTGGGTTTATTACCATTGCACTCAGAAATCACTGGTAATAAACTATACACAAACTGTGAGTGACACAGAGCAAAGTGACATGTCCTTCCCAAAGTATTTCCAACCTAAATCTAGTCCAAGACAAGAGACAGGGAAAAGAGGGACCACAGTGATGGAGCAAGACCACCTTAGTCCTGCAGAAGATCATGGAGTGAGGAGCAGAGACAGGTTCATCTGGCCAGCTACAGACACCTACATGTGAACTTGTCACTCCAGGCTCCCTTTATGGTCAGTGGAAGTCCAGACAAAACAGTCAAGGGATATTCCATATTTCTTGTCCTAAAGCTCAATGACCTGTGTGTTAGAAGCACGTATTTCTCCCCATTGATGCTGCAGAGAGCTTGTGGTGACTGCCTTGGCTACAAGTGTCCACACTGTAAATGCCTGGAGTGATCCCTATTCCTTGCATTTCACCATCTGAAGTCCTTTTTTAGGCATTGCAACAGGAATTTAACTGCTGGGGAGCAGTTCCAGGAAACTCGTCTCACGTGGCCAGTGGGAGAGGAAGGCAACACGTTGGCCTGTTTGGCCTGTGAGCATTAAAAAGGTGGAGCATTTGCCCAGTCCTGAGGGAAGGCATCACCTCAGGAGAGATGGAGAGTGAGGGAGAACAGCCCTGAGGACCCTGATGATGATTTCTGACAGTGACACCATCTCTTTTCTCTTGCCAGGTGCCCCCTCTGTGTTCATCACCGCTTGGACCATTGTCAGGATTTACTTTTTCGATGTTGGGTAAGCCTGTGGACTCAACTGTCTTTCCTTTATTATTCTTCCTCCCTTCATCTCCCAGGAAAGCCCTGCAGCTTTAGTAACCCACAATCCCAGCAGCCAGAGCAGAGCAGAGGGTCTCCCCTGCCACCACGAGCCAAGAAATGCTCCAAGATCTCCCTGAAGACACATGTTTTATGTCAGCTTAGGCCAGTCCCTCAGCCTCTTTGCTTCCCAATCCCCTGGTCAGGATATTTGCAGGGAATCTGTGAGCAGACCCTGATGTTTTCATTTGGCCCAGTTGCAGATGTCAACATGATAAAGTAAAATGAGTCCTACCAGAAATTTTCATTGCTCAGAGCAGAGCTCTGCATCCTGCAAAACTGATCCTATATCTGCTCATGAAGCAGGTGCTCAACAAACACACCTTTTACCTCTCACACAGAAAAGTCTAAAACTTCTTTTTTTTTTTCTTTTCCCAAGCAGATTTTAGGAGCTACTCTTCATTCTCTTTAACCTTGCAGCAGCCTTTGATATTTTATATAAGAAGCAGATAGAACACAGCTAAGAAAATGAGGCAGATAGCAGAGTTATCCAAGGATATATGAAAGTAAAATGCATTTGATTCTGCAATCTTCCTTGCTTTTATTCAAGCAGTCAAGAGCTACAGTAATTGGAAAGGTTTTTAGGGGAAAACACTCCAGAGAGTTACGGAATTGGGTGCTTATTCTGCCCTCACTGTGCATGCCCTCACTTCTTGCATTTGCATCCTATAGTTAATTCCATTTTCTCCCTCTCCAAGTGTGTCCTGATTCGCCCTCATTTCGGTTGAAGAAGGATTTCTCATTGCATTTTTGATTTATAGTCATGCTCACACATTTCCTGAGGGCCACTCACTTCCTTTGTGTTTTCACTCTCTCTGCATAAAACTGACCTTATTTCCTCTGTTAATAAATAGACTCTACAATGAGATAGAGACAGGAGGATTTAACCATTCTGGGTACCAATTCTTCCTACTATATGTTCCCACTCAGCTCCAGCAATTCTTAATAAAAATATAGACTTCTTTGCATTTTCTGGAGGCTTTAAAGCTCTACGTTTTTGTGCCAAGTAAAACAATGTGAATTTACAGGATATGCTAACACCTAACATAGATTATTCTTTCCATGCTAAAGTTACCTACAGAGAAAAATTACAGGAAATTAATCCAGATGAAATAAACTAATTATGTAAGATCAGTTAAACAACCTTAAGCCTCCATTTAAACATTCTAACTCTAAATTAAAATGACCTTCATTCAGACTGTCTGAATTTGTTTTAAAAATGAAGTGCACTAGACATAATTAGGGCCACTTTAATTCTAAATGAGAGGGCAGAAGGCACCTGACTGGCAGCATCTGTGTGTGAGCAATTTGCTCCATCTCCTTTTAGAATTAGTGGAGATTTAGTCAGTGTAGTCCATGGAGTGCAATTTTTGTCATTCTAAAGTTGCTGCCCAAAATAGGACTCTGAACTGTGCCCTAAAAATGCCTCTGCTTATCTGCTATTGCCTGCACTGTCAACATCCTGAATTAGATGAGCTGAATCCAGGTGGAATTGTCTCCAGCAGGCTCCACTGATCTGTTTCTAACATGAATGCAGCCCAGTTTTCATGAATGCTTTCCTAAAAATGCACCTTCCATCACCTGACCGAGGTCTGCAGATAAATGTGTCCCAAGCAATATTAGTCATTTCCACATCATTCCTCTCCTGTCCTTTCTTTGTTGGCTTTAAAATACAGTTCCAAGTGAGTGGAGTTGTGTGCAGACAGTTCTGACTTTGGGATGAAATAAATCCCATCCTGGACCCAATGAACTTTTCTAAGTAGATCCATAGCTCAGGTACAGATGGATTTAGTGGGACTAATCCCACCACTGGCTGTTATCTTTTTTGGGAGGACGTGGTTGGTTTTGTTCCTGATGGTGCCAGTTGCTCTCTGAAGATGCTCCACCATCATCCAGGAGGGTGGAGAGCACTGGAGACCTGATGGATCTGTAGGTTTGGCAGCATTTCCTTGGAGCAGAGCTCAGTATAGGAGAAATTCAGGAGATCACGATCCTCTCCCACATTCACCCTGCAGAACATCTTCCAGCCTATTCCATTTCCAAGGGGAAAAGAGCTCTCAGGATTGTGTCTGGGGCAACTGGTGCCTGCCAGTGCTCAGAGCCTCTGCAAAGCAAGTCTTTGGCCATTCCCACTTCATGCACACAAGGTTTAGTCCTAATAATCCAGCCTAGATATCCTTTGCTTTTAGGAAAACCTAAGAGGTTCCATATCTTACTTTATGTGCTTGAAGTTTTAAGTCTTGTTTTGTTTCTTTTTAGGTGCTGGGAGGAAATAGTGGAATCCCCATTCTGGTGGATCATTAAAACCCCTATTTTGGTGTCTATCTTGGTAAAGTATCAGCACATTCTGCTGGCTGCAAAGCCATCTTTAGTCCTAAGTGGTGGAGGGGGGGTGAAGGGGTGTTGAGAAGTGTTCTGTAAGTGTCCATGGAAGATGCACTGGCAGGAAAAATCCCACTGTATGTTGAACATCTGTCTTAGGATGAGGAAAAACCCTCCAGATAAACACGTTTACCTTTAGCATTGACCATGGAAGAGTTTGAGTGACTGGGCCACTCAGGTGGAGCTCATTTGATGTACCTTTGGTCATTCCACCTCCTACTTGCCCTGGGCACTCTGGGTGTGTAGCCAGAGGAGGTTGAGGAATGTGGTTGGAGATCCAGGAAAGACTCATTTTGCCTGATGGATCAGTGGATGTCTGAATTCAACCCGATAAATTGTGCTACGAGTGGCTTTGTTTCTCTGAGCTGACCAGGATGACTTGTCCAGTTGTGGATGTCAACACCTTGAAATGAAATGAGTCCCACCATAAATTTCTAGATAAAAAAAAGGGGGTTGATGAATTCCCCCAGGGTATTTGCCTCTTTTTATAGCACCCAGTGCAGAGCTGGATCCCAGCTGTGTGCTTTGAAAGTCGGTTCTCAAGAAGCTTGTGTGACTTCCAGAAAAATCAACAGAAGTGTCTGATTTTAATTCTCTGGATATGATCAGTTCTGACCACAGAAACCAGGACACTTCTGAGGAACTCAGTCCTCACATCCCTGTTGAACATTATGTGTTTCAAGCCAAGCCTTAAAATCAAATGAACTTGAGTTAAACTTAGCTCTGAGTTTTCTTAAATGAAGGCAAGGACGTGTGAAGGGAATACAAAAAAAAATGCAACAGAAATCAGACCAAATATATTTATTTTAGACAGAAATCTTTCCTTAGAACATACATTCTTCTTATTCCACGTACGTCATGACCTTTACAAGAAGATTTTTTTTCTGTAGCATTTGTCATGCAGGGATTCAAAACCGCAGCAATTTGAATAATGACATTTTACTCTGTTTACCTCACTGAAAAGAAATACAGTACTTAGATGACACATCTCAAAATATTTATGTCATCATAGAAAGCTGCAGATAGTACTTTCCCTTTCCTGAGATAAGCTTTCAGTCAAAAAATACACCCTATTATTCTCTTCGGATCAATGAGTCTGTATTTGCTTTTGGCCAGTAAATCATTTCCTCGTTGCCAAACAAAGTTTACCCAGCAGTTCCTGATTTTGCTTCGGCAGATATCCCATGAATCTGTCCCAGGGGAAGGGCATGATAACCACCAGCTGATGAACAGCAGGTTTCTTCAGGGAGTAATGCAACATTTGCTCCATATCCACGGGAAAAAAGTGTATATCTCAATGTAAGGAAGAAATGCATATACAAGATATACAAGATCTTTAAGATACATAAGATATATCTTATATACAAGGTATTAAGCACTGGGAACACATCAAGTGCCTCTGATTATGTTGAAAAAATAAATTAAACAACTTCTCCAGTATCCTGATATCCATATGTTCTACCATGGAATGCTAAGGTTATATTTCCCAGTCCACTCCAAGCCAGCACTGCCAGTATTTAATGCTTCATTCTTACCTTCAGTTCTGCATCTTGTGTGCTATCAATGCTCATTAGCGTAATTGATCTAGATAACAATGTTTTGAACTAATAAATTTTACTTGCCACCAAGTCAGACACAAACCATTTCCACGAGCAAATAAATACAAGGAGAAACCAAGATAAATGGCTCAGGATAGATAAAAAGTGATTAAGCAATGCATCCAAGAAATACCATTAATTTCCAATTACTCATAGCCTTTGAAAGAAGAGTGAGTGTCTAATTGAGAGATGTGCTTCAGTCTATTTTATTCACCTTATTGTTGAGATAAATGTAGGAATTGCTGGAGGAAATGTTACAATCTGTTTTCGCAGGAAGTCCGATTGGCTGGTTAACACAATCCCTTCCAGCTGCTGAGCCTCTGAAAATCAGAGCCATTTGTGCATTCAGTAACCATGAAAGGATAAAGAGAGAGGTTGTGGCCAAACTAAAACTAAGTCCCCAGAAATCTGTCACTGCTTTTCTATTTTCTGTGTTGCATGAATAACAGGATGATTCGATGGATAAGACCTTACAAGCAAATAGAGTTGCATTCAGTCCATGCCATCGACAGCATTCCATTGGGAAAATGCCATTCCTAGCTCTGCACCTTTGATAATAAGGGAGGTTAACATTGCTTGAGTGTGTTGGTGGAGCACTTTGAGATCTTTTGAGTGAAAAGAACCATCTAAAATCCAGGGGGCAGCTCCCAGTCTAACATCCTAGGAGGGAACGTTTCCCGTTGTGTCCACGAGGTCTATCCCTTGCCATGCAAGTTCTCCAGCCTCTCCCAGGGAGGCCATGGCCAGTAGCACTGAGTAGAGTTGGGGTGGGTACTGCTCTGTGTTTTGTTTTGGTCTCCTTGGCTCAGTCTCTGACGTGCTCAGCAGCCGGTCCCATGTCAGCGTCTCCCGAGGGCTTTGACATCCGTCGCTCGGCTCATTCCCAAGGCTCTTTTCCCACCCCGGCGCCGGCAGGACGTCGTGCATAGCTGTGCTCTATGGGCTTGACATCATCATACTTGGGATGTATGACACGAAGTCCCAAGCAGGCTGATGTCAGGCCCAAGATGCCATCCTGTGTCCGTTTACTTTGGGCTCTCTGCTCATGGCTGCTTAACCACAGCTTGTTCCATGGCAAAAACATGGCAGTGGAAGGAATTCCCCTCTAATGATGGGCTCTGTTCACCAGGGAAAAATAACTAATGTTTTGCCTCTCTCTCTCTCTGTGTTCCCTTTCTTCCCATCCTGGCAGGTGAACTTCATCCTCTTCATCTGCATCATCCGCATCTTGGTCCAGAAGTTGCATTCCCCGGACGTTGGACACAATGAAACCAGCCAATATTCGTAAGTCCTGGACTTCTTCTACCATATTCTTTGCTTTTGGGGAAACCTGTTTGGCTGTTATTTCATTACTGCATCACTATTCACTGTGTTCACTGTTGTCTCTGTCTGCACTGATCAGAATCAATTAATTGTTACTTGATCAAAGCTGATCAGAAATCAGGAAATGGAGCGTTTCCTAAAACAGCCGGACAGGTTTGATGTCAGTTTGAGGCAGGTGAAAAGACCTTCTCCTGGGATTAATGATGAAGAAGTGAGAGCAAGAATAATGATCATGAGGCAAAAAAAGTTCTTTCTTTGCATCTTTAATATTTAGCGGATTCTGAAGGCAGAGGAACCCCGAGGGACAACCAAGAGTTGCTGTACACAGTGTATGGGCTTTTTTTTTTCCTGACTCTCGGGTCCCTTTTTCAAAGAAGGAGAGATCTAGAAAATTAATCCATTCAGTAGAATCTGTGGCAGATTTTCCTTATCCCAAAGCAGACCTCTAACCTAAATTGGATTATTTCAATGCATTTCTCCTCAGTGTTGAGAAGGATCACTGCCTCAGAAGATTTGCTTGACTTAATGCTTTTATTCCAGGGATATAAAGTTGACCTTAATGGGGATTTTTATCATGAACAACACGCCAGTGAGATCAACATCTGTCTCAGTGGCCAAGACTGGTCTTAGCTGTAGAATTATAAGAGTGAAAAAAATGTCCATTTACATGGATTTGTTCTGACCTCAATGCAAATAAAATAAAAGTTCAGACCAGCTTATTTTTGACTCTTGCCACTGTCCTGGTTCAGTTTTTCAACCATCCTGGATATTTATTAAATGTTTCCTCGAAGAGAACTAAAATGAAAAAGGTCCTGTATCTACATGGCCACTGCTCATAAACCTTTGTCTTCGTCTGGAGCTGCACTTTGGGGTACCCTGAAGAATCTGAGCTCAGTTCAACTTTCTGCAAGATGGAAAACAATAACAGTCTGTTCCTTAAACATTGCTCAGCCATGACACTGAGCCTGTCTCTAGTGATGGTAAATTATTCATTTCATCTGCCTCGAGAGATTCTCAGATTTATGAAAGAAAAGGCCAGAGTTTGACCTTAACTTCTGCCTGCAGCAGCCAAAGCCAATTACCTCTGTTTTTGTCATCTCAGCACACCAATGTTACCAACCCTGTGCTTTTTATCCCCTATTTTTCTGTATTTCCAACTGGGTGTTGTACCTTTGTACCCCAGGATTGCAACAGCTCTGGCCAGGTGTGGAGATTAAATCAGCATATTGAAATATGTTCTGAGCAGCATCCTGGAGCTGTTGGCTCCTGTTCCCCTCAGCAGAAGTGTTGCCAACATGCACTGAAAGGGTTATGCCCGGATTACCTCAGAGGTCATGCTGAGCTTTGGGTTCAGGGCACATTTTCCAGTGAAGTGGGAAATGAAATTTTCCTGGGAGCTGCCAGGAAAGCTCTTTTTGCCTTGTAAACAAACGTGGCACAGCAGTAAAGCCCAGACTTCCCCTCGCTGACCTGCCCAACGGGAGGTGCTGCTGAAGTACAACTGAGCTCCACATCTGCAGCTCCTCACCTTCCTTCTCCACCTGGAAAGACTCTCAGTGCCATCAGGGAATGAATCAGTTGCTCACTTCATAGGATCACAGAACCACAGAATGGTTTTGGGTTGGAAGGGACCGTAAAATCATCCAGTTCCAACCCCTGACTTGGGCAGGGACACCTTCCACTAGACCAGGTTGCTCAGAGTTCCATCCAACCTGACCTTAAACTTTTATGCGTCCAAGACATATGAGGTGCTTTAAGACACTTCAGTTACTTTCTTGGACGTAGAACCCAGGACCTGTGGGAAAATTTTACCCTTACACAGAGGCATCTGGCCACCAGCCACGTCCTCTGGGACATCTGGAAGTCTCTGTCGACTGTACTGAGAGCTGTAGGACATGAGGCACCACACTTCCCTATGGAAGGAAGTGTTAAGTGTCTCAACTTGAAGGCTGGAACCCAGCAAGGGGAGTTCTCAGTGTGGTCCTAAGTTCTCAATGTTTAGACAGCAACCTGTAGGGACTTCTGGGGTTCTACCTGCAGGACTCAAGAGATCTTAGCAAAAACTGCTGCTAATGAAACATTGAGGGAGCTGGGGGGGCTCAGCCTGGAGAAAAGGAGGCTCAGGGGGGACCTTCTGGCTCTGCAACTCCCTGACAGGAGGGGGGAGCTGGAGGGTGTCGGGCTCTGTTCCCAAGGAACACGGGACAGGAGGAGAGGGAACGGCCTCAAGCTGTGCCAGAGGAGGTTCAGGTTGGACATCAGGAGGAATTTCTTCACTGAAGGGGTGGTCAGGCATTGGCAGGGGCTGCCCAGGGAGGTGGTGGAGTCCCCACCTCTGGAGGTGTCCAAGGAAGGACTGGACATGCTCTGGGCTGGGGGACAAGGTGGGCATCGGGCACAGGGGCGACTTGATGACCTTGGAGGGCTTTTCCAACCTCAGTGATTTTGTGATTCTGTTTGGGTTCCTCCTGCCAAGTCTGATATAAATCTGTTTTAGACTAACAGCATCCTGGATGTCTCATTTGCATTCTCCCTCCTTCTCTTGTTTATTTTATACTGTTTATTTTCTAAAAACACGCTGACATGTTGACAAGCATTGTTCAAACTCCGAGCGGTTTCAGTGTAGCTGCAGGCTGGAAGTTCAGGTGCACTGCTGACTCACTCATTAATGCTCCAGACAGGGAGCTGGGCTTTCATGTATTGGAAACTGTGAAAACAAAGCTCCCAAAACAGTTTTCTGGAAATGACAGGGACATGTGCTATAGTGGGACAGCAGAATTTCAGAGATTTTGTTTTCTACAACAGGAAACTTGAGTAAAATTCATCTCTTTCTATTCTTTACGTGCTCATAGATCAATATTGTCATCAAAGTTTTCCATGATGATTTCAAGGAGCATTACTAAAATGTCCCAATTCCCACTCCCAGGGAGAGGAGTAGGTTCCATGCAGGCTGATGGACACGTTTTTCCTAAATTACCTGTCACCATGTACACCTGTCAGAGAGTCTGGGTCTAAGATGTTCTGGGAATGAGAGTAATGAGTTTTTTGAGAATCCATGGCTTCCAGCAGGAAGATTTAACCAGCTTTACACAGCCTCCCAAGAAGTTCTCCTCCTGCACATCTAGGCTTTATCTTCCTGGGAGAAATTACACCCTGACTGGGGAAGATGATTTTCGTCTTTGCAGTGTTTAGTGGGGGGAATCTTTTAAATATCACAGTGCTGGACCACAGAGCCCTTGCCCTGATGCCACACTGAGATCTAAAACATCACTCAGTGTCTGGGGAAGGAAGTGGCTGGTTTGGGGGGTTGTGCAAATTAGAGGAGGAGGCTCAGCTTTTGGCATTTATGTCCTTTTCATTGCCACAGTGCATCCAGGAGGGAAAATATTGTAACTGAGGCCCCAGTGTTGTCTGCAAAGATAAGATCAATTTTTCTAATCCCCTGGAGGTTGAAAACAGCATTTCTGTGAATATGGTACACAAAGGTAGGATCTCATCATCTCCTCCAGGCTTACTGTTCCTGCAGAGATTGGGGAGGGAGGAGAGATCTCTGCAAATCCAAAAGAAATATTCACTGAACTGTGATCTGCTAAGAAAATGAGTTGCTTTCTCATGTATCTGGAGCTGGGAGCATTAGGGCTTGGTCATACTGGTGTGGGTCATACTGGCCAGAGCTGCTTCTGAGAGTGAGGAACATGGAACACTGATGGTCACCAAAGACAGTGACAGTGCTCTGGCAGAGCAAGACATCCAAGAGAACTCAGATTTTGGATCTACTCCCCATGAGCAGGGATGTGCCTGCTGGTGAGGGATGTGGGAAAGGCAAATTCCTGTGGAGTCCCTCAGCTTCCTACAGGCACTGATTTTGCCTGGAATGAGTTGCACCCAGGTGTCTTTCAGCCAGCAGGTATTCCCTGGGGAGCCATGGCCTCCAAAACCAGCCCTAATGTCGAGCTGCCTTTGGGCCAGGCCCAGGGAAAGCTGAAAAGGTCTGCTGGGAGATACAGGGATGAGCATCATCTGCACAAAGCTGGCACATCAGCCCTCCCAGTGGGCTGATGCAGATGGCAAATAAATGAAGATGGTCTGAGAGGACTGAGCCTGATGAGGCTTTGGAGGTGAAGGACTTGCAGGTGGAAGAACAAGTATTTCCAACATCCTCTCCTCAGCTTCATTTCCTCCAGAAGCCTCTGAGAGATGGAGGTGCCACAGGATGTGGTTGACCAGGGGAGCCAAAACCCCCACATGCATCCTTAGGCTCTTGATTTCATTTCATTTCTGTCAACTATTTTTTAATAACAATTATATTTAATAAATTATCATTTCTTCCTAATTAGGCCTCTGATTACCCAGCCTGATGCCATTAAGCACTAATACTGTTCATCCCCCTCCTTTGGAGACATTCTTTGTGCAATATCCTGTCATTATTCCCAGCTAAACATACCATTTCTCTCCCAGAAGCTGTAATTTTCAGCAATCTCCCAAGCAAACAAAGACAGTGCTAGATGATGATTTAGCTGGTAGAGATGAAAAAAAGCTCTCTGGTGGGAGGGGAAGAAGAGAGAAGGGAGAAAGAAATACCTCCAGTGGAGCCACTAGGAATAAAGATGTCGCATTTTATGGTGTCACCTCGTCTGAAATCAGCAGCTGTCTGCAGTCTGAGGAACAAGGAGAAATAATGTAGGGCTGATTGCTCTGCCTTGGCTGGAGACATGGATATAATTACATGGGAGCTGTTAACGAGCAGGAAGTGCTCCCAGCATGGTCCTGGGTTAGTCTGAGGTGCCACACAGTGCCTGTGCCCAGCTGAGGGTCCACCCCCACGTGTCACTGCATCCCAGCCCGGGTGGGCAGAGGGATCCTGGGGAGGTTGAGCCAGGAGTGGCATCTCCACACCCACTGTTTTGCTGTACCCCAGACACTCCATCCCCCTGGCTGAGAGCAACCTCCTGATGCTCTCTTGCTCAAGGCTGGATGTTCCCAGGACCCCAGGGCGAGTGTCCAATATCACACAGCAAACAAATTCAATGCACCAAATTCAGTGTTCAGGGTTGCACAGGGCTCGGAGCTGTGGGATTTCTCATCCTGTTACCCTTCAGCTCCTCTTCCCTCTCCCCTTCTGACTCATGTTTGTCTTTCCAACAGGAGGCTGGCCAAGTCCACCTTGCTGCTGATCCCTCTCTTTGGCATTCACTACATCATGTTTGCTTTCTTCCCTGACAATTTCAAGGCAGAAGTTAAGCTGGTCTTTGAGCTCGTGGTTGGGTCATTCCAGGTAAGCCACCCTTTGGGCCACCACTCAGCCACCAGGTCTGTCAGAAGGGAGAAGTGTAATGACCTTTGGGGAAAAAGCTCCTCACTCCAGCATGGCCAGCATGGGAGACAAATTTATATTTTACCTCTTGCAATTCCAGAAGGAGATTCTTCCTCCTCAGTTTAGGCACCTGGAAAGAAAATGTACATCTGTACATTAGTCACCCTGGGGGTTTACGTGCTTAAGGGAAAAAAAAGTGAGCATCATAGGTCAGTTTACATATTATTGACATGTTCCAGGCCAGGTTGGAGGGGACTTGGAGCACCTGAGTCTAGTGGAAGGTTGTCCTTGTCCATCTCATGGGGTGTGGAACTAGATGACTTTTAAGATCCCTTCCAACCCAAACCATTCCATGATTCCATAGTGCAAGATGAGACAAATGACCTTTGGTGGGAGTGTCCTGCTGCCCATTAACAGGAGCCTGGTCTGTCTTCAGCCACTTGACTTGAATGAACTTTCTCCTCTCTTCACAAGTCAAGTGCTGCCTGTAGCTCCTGCTCAAGCAGGATTCCAGTTCATTGGTGCAGGAGGCAGCTTCCCCACGAGGATGGATGATGGGGCTGCCCTCCACGTTAGTTCTGATGGAGTTTGGTTCTTAGACCCTCCCACTTCAGTCAGTGTTGGGTCACTAAACTTGCCCCTGAGGCTGCATGAAAAGGAGCCCTTATTCAAGTGTTTCATCCCATTGCTTCTGACCATTGTCAGTCCCAGCCACGTTCTCACAGCCTGGGAGCGGGGTCTGGCTGTCCCCATGTCCCGTGTACATTTCAGTGGCAAGTTTTATTCAGTGGTGACTGAGTTAACATCCCTGTCTACAACATCATCACTTCACATCTGGCATCTGGAAGTGCTCAAAAAACATCCAGATGTGGCACTTGGGGACATGGGTTAGTGGTGAAGTTGGACTTGATGATCTTAGAGGTCTTTTCCATCCTGATTCCATGATCCCTCCTTTGAGATCATTGTGTTTAGTGCTGAAAGCCTGTTCTCTCTTTTCCCCCAGGGATTTGTGGTGGCTGTTCTGTACTGTTTTCTCAACGGAGAGGTAAGATCAGCAGTGTTGTTTGGTTCATGTTTGCCAGCTAAGTGGATTGAGTGTCCCATTCCTGATGTTACCATACCGGTGGGAAGCATCCAAGTCAAATCTCTCACTCCAGAAAAATAGTTCAGCCACTTTCCTGACAGTTTTCAGCACAATTAATAAACATGTCAGGGCTTTTGTGTGCACTGTGTGCATCACTGCTGCTGAGTCCACCCTTTACTCACGAGACAGCACCAGCAGAACCTTGCACAAACCCTGATCCCAAAGGCCCACCTTCAACAGGGAAGGATAAATCCCATCTTAAGCCCTGCCAAGTGCCTCAGTGAATCCTTTACAGGACCAGGCCCGCTGCTGGGATGGAGGCTCATTAGTGCAGTGATATTTTTGTATCATCCCCCACCTGCCCATAAGAAGTTCAGCTGATTAAGCCCATGTTGCAAAGGCTCCCAATAGGTGTGAGCAGCTACAGACTCGGAGCTGCTGTCATCTGGAGCACTTCCAGCCCAATAAACAGAGCACGGACAAGAAAGAAGCAGCTGTGAGCTGGATTTGTGCTCCAGCTTCCTAGGGGAGAGGAAGAGTGTCCAGAATCCCAATTTTCTCTCTCACAGCTCCAAAGCTGCATCAGCCACACTGATGCCATGTGTACATCAGGCAGAGAGCCCAGCTCCAGCAGAGACCTTTCCCAGTAATCCTGCCTGGAACAGGGCAGTACCACACAAGCTTGCTGATGATCCAAAACCAATACAGGCACTGACATGACTTGTTAGTCACAGCAGTGCCAGGTAAACATGTTTTTACCTTGCAGGCACTGATCTTGCCTTTCCCATATTTCGACTCCTGGGATTCTCATCCTGGTATTGTGCTGTTGCTGTGCTTGCTCATCCCAGAGCCCCTCAGACACAGCTGTTTTATCTAATTCATACTGTTATCTAAAAATTTGGGCTGGAAGGCTGCAGGAGGGGACAGGAACAGTGGCCAGACTTGTTCAGAATTTTAATCTGGACAGTGTAAACCAGATCATTTCAGTGAACTCCCCGAGCAGGAACAAGTAGCTTCTGTCAAAAAAATGCACAGCTTTACAAACAAGCTGTAGTTAAATCATTCCTATTTGGACCAAAAACAGGGCAGTGAAAAAAAAAAATCTTAATTATTAAGATTAATTAATTACTCACAAAATGTAGAGTATGTTGAAGCTGAAGTTAACTATTCTGGCACCTTCGCTGTATGAATAAGAAATTCCCTGTGCTCACCTTTCTTCTGGAGCTCAGGGATTTCTACTGTCTGGGGTGTCCCCTCTCTTCTATGTGGCTAAAAGTCCAGGTCAAAATGAGTTTAGTGACCTTTATAAAATAATTCTTGGCCCCTTGGTGGGTGGGTCACCCACGGCTGCTCACACAACGAAATCAGAGCGACAGCAAGTGATTTTCTTGTCTCTCCAACGCCCAGGTCCAAGCTGAGCTCAAAAGGAAGTGGCGGAGGTGGCACCTGGAGAGGTTCCTGGGCTCGGACATGAAGTACCACCACCCTTCCTTGGGCAGCAACGGCACCAACTTCAGCACCCAGATCTCCATGCTGACCAAGTGCTCGCCAAAGACTCGCCGGTGCTCCGGCTTCCAGGCCGAATTCTCCCTGGTGTGATGGGGAGGGGCTCTCCCAGCAGGGAGCATCCAAAAGAGACACTGAGAGACTGAGGGATCCCCAGGAACCAGCGCTGACAAATCCCTGTGAAATGACGTGCTCCACGTGAGCCAACAGAGGACACACAACTGGAAAAGCCACTGGCATCCAGGACAGGACCGGACAAGTCGAGAGGCAGAGAAATACTTTTCCTCTCCCTCTTTTCAGACCTTTCACTCCTCAGTTTCAAGCCCTCGGGGGTTGATAACTATGAGTAAAGGTCCCAGTCGCTTGAGGAAAGCCTGGGGGATGCTGTGTCATAAATGATGAAGTACAGGGGAGGAAGGGAGGGGAGAGCCCGAGTCCTTGGGGGCTTTACCGGAACCGGTATCTCTGAAACAGATAAATTGCACTTTTTTTAAAAAGAAATGAGCCAGTAAAGGAGAGAGGGATGCAAGAAGCAGGAAAAAAAAAAAATGCCAAACATATGAATGTGCCAAAATTCCTGTGGATAAGAGGTGATGATAAGGCACCGAAGACGGAGTCGGGGACACGGGGAGAAGGGACAGGAGGAACATGAGCAGGAAGGGAGAGGCCAGTGCATGACCCCTGTGTTTTACACAGGTGAAGATGAAGCTGCAGCACCAGGAAAGCCCCTCAGAGGATGCCCCAGGGCTGCAGTGTGTGCTGCGAATAACCCACTATCCTCATTAACAAAAGCTTTCCAGGCATCCTGGTGCTCTCTGGAAAAGCAGGTCACTGAGAAGGAACAGCATGAGAATTCTCTTCTCTGCACCGTGTTCAGGACGTGCTGTTTGTTTTGGTTGTGTTCAATGACCAGGAAACTCGGTTTGCATGCATAAAAACCAGGTACAGAGGCCAAAAGCAGAGCATGGCTGTGTTTTTCCTTCAAGTTCTCCCGTAGATCTTGGTGCCTTAATGCACCAGGGATCATGAGGGATCAGGGGAAAATAATTGGGGTGTAATTCATTTGCACTTGCTTAGCACACACTGCCAGGAAAGGGAGATGTAGAACCCTGTAATCACTAATTGAAGCAGACCTGCAGTGAGGAGCCACTCTCCAGATGAAAAAAATTAGTGTCACAGCAGTGAGGAAAATTGCTTTCATCAGGACAAGGTGCTCTCAGCACAGAACTGGCACTGCAGGAGTGAGGAAGGACTGAAGGGGCTATTAAATTGATTTCTTCTTCAGCTTTTGTGGGAAGCTTTCATCCTCTGATGAAGGCATTGTTAGATCTTCGAGATGTGTGTGTGCATTTTGCCTCTTTTTTGAAGGCCTATTAGTTTTCATCTAGGGGCAATCCCTATTTGAGGAATGCACATGGATCCCATTAAAACCAAGGGAATAGTCATGTTTTCTTTTTCTTCTTTTCTTGGTGGAGGGGCAAAGGAGAGGTGTGAAACCCAGTCCTGCTCAAGCACTGCATTTGAGACAATCCCCACACTCCCAAACTCAGTCAGAAGACAGAAAATAAAAGGATACAGATGTTTGTGTCCCACACAAACGGGGTTGCACCAGTTTTACACCGAGGGTGGGAAATTCCTGCTCAGCTCATGTGTACACTCAGTAATTGGGCTGCTCTCACCCTACTCTGACACATCCTCAAGAAGGAGAGTCTGGGCCACCAACACACAAACCTGGAAAGGAAGGTGGGCTCCTCCTTCAGAGTTCAGAGATCTCAACTTGCCTACCAGGTGCTAACTAACAGCACCTGGACTTTTACTGCTCCGTGATTTAATGTAGTTCATTGGAGGGAAGCATCTTTACCTTGCTGGGTTTGGGGTTGCTTTGCTGGTTTGTTTGCCTGCCTGAAGCCTCTGTGATTCACTACCAGCCACCCACGCTGAGCCCAGGGGGAGACTCATAGACCAGGACATCCAGTTCCTTCCTCAGTTCTGAGAGGGCAGTGTTCCATGCCAAAACCATTCCCAGAGCTATACCTTTTATCAACTCCATGCTTCCTGAGTATCTCTCCACGTGTAGCCCTGTGAAAGCGTGGAGGGCTGAAGACAGTGAGGGGAATAAAGAACCCTGTGAAGGGCAGATGTTCAGTCCTGAGTTTCCAGTGAGCTAACTCAGACCTCAGCACAGTGTAGCCATGGCTACTCAGCCTGCAAAACCTCAGAGGATAAGTAGATGTTGTGAAGATCCCTGGAGTTCAAGTGCTGGTGACCCCAGGCCAGCCAGGTGTGAGGAGCCACGTTACTCTGAGGCCATGCCAGCAGTGAGAATCCAGCACTGACGTGCCATAAGGTCATCAGGATGCTCTCTGAGCAGCTCTGATTCCCAAAATGCAGAGAAAGCAAGAGGATGCTTAAAATTTCCCCACATTTCTTGCACTGAAGCCCTTGTGCCCTGACACCTTGGAAACAATATCCCATTTAAATCCTCATGATGTTCTCAGAGGCCAGGACTCTTATTTTAGAGGTCACAGCACCAAGGCTGCCAGAGCTCGAGGAGTGTTTGGACAATGCTCTCAGGCACTTGGTGTGATTTTTGGGGCTGTCCTGTGCAGGGCCAGGAGTTGGACTCAATGATCCTTGTGGGTGCCTTCCAACTCAGGATATTCTGTGATTCTCCATGTGTTTGGTGCTTGTCTGGTGAGCACTTTCAGACCTGGAGTAGGACTCACAAAGGAAATACTGGAGAAATCCCACCAGCACCACCACTTCTTCTCCTGTGCCTGCTTCGAAGCAAGGATTTGACCCAGCTCTGCATTTTGCCAAGTGAATGTCCAGCTGCAAGGAAGCCCAGAAGAAGCAAGGGAAAACTCTCAGCTTCCAAGTCATTCCACTTGGTGTAAAATGCTTTGTCTCAGTGGTTCAGAGTTTTGAAGCAGTGTCAGCCAGGGAAACATTTGATTCATTGGGCTGCAGAGTCATTCACCCTCTTAATCTGTCAGGGGAGCTGTAGATGCCCAGAAAATTCCATGGGCTGCAGAGGAGCATGCCTGATCTTGTGAATGCATCCACTGAGATGCCTGAGGTGTGAACTGGAATCCCAGGTCCCAGACAAGCAAGAGAGGAGCCTGAGCACAGAGCTGTCAAGCAGAAGTGATGCACCATTGCCAACAGGCTCCTTTGTGGGATGTCAGGGAATCCCTGCCCATCTGTTCTAGGCAGTCTTGCTGGGATAGCAGGTCTGTGAGCCATCAGCAGTGAGACACATTGTGCATTTTCCCTCTGTTCACCTTCCTTTTTCCTCTCCCTGTGCCTGGCACTGCACTTGCAGGAGGACTTTCTGCTTTGTGTTTTCAGCTTTGTTTCTGTTTCAGCCCTGTGCTGACCTGTGCCAGCATCAACCCTGTGCCAAAGGCAGTGGGAACAGGTTTGCCTTTTGGAGACACGACAGGCAAAAATCCAGCTGGTTATTTACCCATTCCACAGGGAATGTGGGAGATTCACCACCAGGCTATTCTGCACAGGAGCCTGAAGAGAGGCTGTTTCCTAAACTGAGGGGCTCCTTCAAAACAGGTGGAGAACATCAGAACAGTGCCCCAGGCATCCTACTGGCAATTATTTCAGCGCTGAACATCCAGCCACGTTGCCATTGTGCTGTCAAGGGGGTTTGAGAGATTAAATGAACGTGCTGAATATACCTGCTGTGACAGGCATGGCAATATTAGTGACACAGGCAGGGCAGAGCTGCCAGCACAGCTGCCTGGGCCTTGGATTTCAGACAAACACAGGAGTCAGTGCTGAAATCACAGCTTTTCACTCTGGGGACGTGAGCAATCCAGTGAATGATGACATTGGGATCAGGCCCTCTTTTAACTGGCTTGCTGCAGGAATTTGGCTCCATACCTTGGCCTCCCTTACTCTGTTTTTCATCCAACTCATCAACAAAATGGGAGCTCAAGGACTTCACTACAAATGACAGCCTGAGGTGTCATGTCCTGGTCCCACACAGAGCACACAAGCAAGCCCCAGTCTGAGCCCCCCAACTCCAGTGTAACACAGGAGGGACTCCAGTAAAGCAGCTCCATTAATTTGCTGAAAAATAATATTAATAGTCACATCTGGATATGGGACAGAGATGTTTGAGGATCATGAATTTGGACTCCAAAACTCTTTACAGAAATTAAGCCAAATTCTGATCCCACTCACCAATCAGTTCACTGCAGCAACTCCTGAATTACACTTGGATTTGCCTTTAAAATAATTCCTTTATCTTCAGTCTGGAACTTTTTACTCTCTTCTTACACCAGTGAGAGAGCAAGCCCCTCCTGTTAATTAGTCACTCTGCATTTCAGTGATTAAATGATTAAAAATTAGTGTGGAATAATTACAATAAAAACATTAAAATATGGTCTTAAGGAGTAGAGGTAGGTACAAGCTTCAATACCAAGATTAGACTGTAGATATTTCTGTTCAACTGGGACCTAAAGATATTTCTACTCAGCTGGGACCTATGTTGCTCTGTGACCTCATAAGCAGCAAGAAATGAGAATATGACCCTGTTTGGGGTTAAAAAAAAGAGGAGTAAAGAAATTCTAGGCTGCTGCAGAATTTCAGGGCATTAACTTGAAACTTTTTAAAATCAAAAAGGCCAGGAGATGAAACACTTGAATATTTTAGTTTAGTTTAGTTTGAGTTGGGTTTTTTTTGCCTAGGAAGCAGTTATATTTTTCTCAAGGAAGGTGTTGCTGGAGAAAAGATGTTTTGTGCATTAACTAATCATCAGCTTTACATCTTTCTCAATATCCCACTTGTTTCCCATTCAGGGACAGGGTCACGTCTGTGCCACAGCACTACATGAGCAGAGGGATTAAACCCAAATCTGTGTCCCAATCTGATGGAAATATTTCCAGAGAGAGATACACCTGCTGATTAATGGAAGTTTTCTAGTGTTTTTTAAAAAGCAAAATGAAGTTCCAAAGAAAGCTCAGGAGGGAGTGAACATCATTTGGCTCCATGGCAGGGATTAAAGGGGCTTGGTGGGATTATCTTGTCTCCAGTCCTTCCACCTTCACCCCAGTGTTCAAACAAGGGAAAACCCAGTGGGTTTCTGCGGGAAATATATTTTCAGACTAAAAGGGAATCTCACCAACTGGGAAATGCCAATAAGTGTCTTCCTGGAGCTCATTTCATTCTGTCTGCACAAGTGCAGCTTGGTTGGATAAAGGGCCTGTGGAAACACAGGTGGATCAGGAGCAATGCCCCTTCTCTGGAAGGTGTAACATCAGAGCCCATGTAAAACATTGTCCTTCCCATCAAGCCCCACCTTCTGCTCTCAGGTGGGGTGTTCAGCTGAAAGAAGGGCCGTGGTTGGGGTGCTG